GTGCTTCATGTGGTTGTACAGGTGCGACTTCTCCAGGCAGGTGAAGGGGCACTGGAAGCACTTGTAGTTGTAGGGCTTCCCCCGCGGCCGCGGGATGTAGTGCGGCTTCTTGGGCTTCCGCGCGCGCGCGAGACTCATCTTCCCACGGGTGCGGGTCCCCTCTGGGATCCTCGGCCGCCTCGGGGCCCGCCACGTTCTCCGCGTCCTGCATGGGCCCGCCGCTGCCGCCTCGCCGCACTACCGCGTTTCCGACTCTCCCAGGCCGCACCGCGCGGCGCCAGCCGCCGGGCCACGTGCGTACAGACCCGGCGCTACCCGGGCTGGGGGAGGGGGGGACGCCTACGCCCTGACGCCTCCCGGCGCGACCCCAGGAACTCAGAGGGCGAAGAGGGTCTACCCAGATCACCGCGATCACCCCACAACACGCGCGTGCTCCACGCTAGTCACCACAGTTGCACGGCTCAAGCTATAGACTGACTGGGAGTTCCGGCTACCCTACTAGGGCGCGAGTGGTTTCGCCCAATATGGCAGCCACTCCCTTCCTGCTCCCGTCGGGCGCTACGGGGAAGGACTAGACTACTGGCGACGCCGCGAGGAGGTGGCACTCCCCAGCTCTGGAGGCGGCAGTGTCTGAAAACAGTATTTAACGAAAAATTTTATATTGGGGTAAAAGTTGAGTTCAAACATTTTTGGTTGTGGGATCTTGGCTCTACACCAACGTTTATCTTACAAGACTAAGCTCCCCCTTTCACTTCTCGGGGTTTAGACTCGTCCACTGATTGAGCAAAAGAATGGACGATCCCAAAATACAAAAGGAATTCCTGAAGCGGCAGAGGTGACCAACACTGTAGACACACACTGCATCATACAAAAGTTGGCGTGTTGCTTAAAGCACTTACGCCCTAGCCCACCGCAGCGCGCGCATTTCACCTGCCCCCACTCTGACGGTCACCGTGGTTCCGCCCGCGGACGCCACCGCCCTGGGAGCGCGAGCCAGCGCCACGTGGGTCACGTGGTCTGGGGGCGGGCCCCGCTCCGGGGGCGGGGCCGGGGCGGTGCTCGACTGGGCGTCTGGACTTGGCGACGTTGGGGCCGGCTGGCTGGGCTGACTCTGGGATTGAAGGATATTCTGTATTTGTATTTCGTGTGGTGTTTTGGTTTCTGTCAGGCCCCAGGGCAGCTGCTAAAATTCGAATTAATTTGAATGTGGAATTACCCTAAAAGGAGCCGAGTGGCTGCTGGGCAGGGGTACTAGTCTTCAGTTCTGGAGAACGAGAAAGTTCTGGCAGTGTGAATGTGCTTATTACCACTGAAAAGTGATTAAAATGTCTAAATTTCGGCCCTCCCTGGTGGCGCAGCGGGTTAAAGCACAGCACTGAAAAGCTAAAGCCACTTCAGCATGAGTTCCATCCCCACCTGCCCCGGAGGTGACCCACATGGCGTGACAGACCTCTCCTGACCCGCCCGCTGCTCCCCTCAGCAGTGTACTTAGTCTATCTGCCTGTTCTGCTCCCCACTCTGTCCCTGGTGAATCCTCTCACCCTTCGCATCTCTGGCCTGTACCCCAGTTCTGTATGAATAAATAAATCTTTAAAAAAAACAAGTCTAAATTTCATGTTGTGTGTATTCTACCCCACTTGTATTAAAAAGAAAAAAGAAACAATAGTTCTTGGTTCCCTACTAGGTTTCAGTCTTCCCTGCCTTACTTTAAGCTGTGTAACTGTGCAGGTTATTTAACTACTTTGCCTCACTTCCCTCATCAGAAAATAAAGGACAACACATTTTATGTGATCTGTGGACCGTCTCTATAAAGGCAAACTAATTTCAACTAGAGTTCAAAATTATCCTTCTAATTTCTAGTTTCATCTTCAGTTTTCATAGACCATTGGGCTCCGCCAGCCTTTTTCTTCTAAGAAGGTGTTAAGGAGCCCTCCCTGGTGTCACAACTGGTTAGGACGCATCACTGCAAGCTGGCCATAGCTGCTTCAGTGCGAGTTGGATCCCAGCCCCAGAGGTGAGGAGGTGACCCACGTGGCACGGCAGATGGCTCCTGACCCTCCCGCCACTCCCCTCAGCAGTGTACTTTGTCATTCTGCCTGTTCTGCTCCCCACTCTCTCTTTGGTGAAGCCTCTCACCACCCCTGGCCTGTACTCCAGTTCTGTATGAATAAATAAATAAATCTTTTTTAAAAAAAAGTGTTATGGATAACAAATCAATAAACTGGAGTCAAAAATTCACAGGAAATCTAAAAACAGCTGACCTTAACTTAGCAACTTCTTAGGCAGGAACCAGTCGTGTGGCATGCTTGTGTTGCCAAGTAGCCACTCTTTCCTGTCTCTCGTGGAAGGGACTTGTCATGTCCTTTAACATGGTAAGATTATGAATGTGCTTATAATGCAACATATACATGTGTCTGTATATATATTCTAAAAATGTATCTATTTTACAAAGGCACAAAGACCATCAGCAGTTCAGCCTCTCTCAAAAGTCTAAGAAGCCCTATAATTGATGTTCTAAATAGGAGAAATTCTGTCTTGGTGATACAGCCTGAGTCCAGTGTATGATTCACAAATCATACTATTTTGGGATGACAGTGTAAGAGAGCAAAGTTGATGAATCATAGCATTACAGAAGCTAAGGTAAAAGTGCTTAGCTTGATAAGGTCATACACGTTTGACACTCCTTTCAAAAGACATAGCCAACCTTTTTCCCCTTTAAGTGTGGTAGAAGTGACACTATGTGACTTCCACATCTAGGTCCTAAAAATGTTAAGCTTCCACCTTGTCCTAACCACCCCCGCCTTTGCTTTCCCATATTTGTTTTCCCTCAATTTCTTATTCGCTCTCTCCTTCCTGTTATCACTTGCTAGGCCACCATGTCATGAGGACATTCAAAGTCTGTTGAGGGGCCGACTGCAGAGGGACTCAGTCGGCTAAACTCATGGACAGAACAGAACCCTCGATGGCTGTAGTCCAACCCATGTCTTTGAGAGAGGCCTCATGAAAAACTACCCCCCCCCTTAATCTTGGACTTTCAACCTTCAGGAATGTAAGAAACAATTGTCTCCCATTTAACTGCTCAGTCTGTAGCCTTAGAAGACTAATTGTGTGGGTAAATAAGTACATAGAAGAAGACCGAGAAAGATACGCATTAAACTGATCTTGACAAAGCCTTGGTCTTAAGTGTGAGCAGCACTTATGGTGGAGGTGGTTTTCAGGCCTCCCTCTGGTTGTTAGGAATTGTAGAAGGAATTAAGAAACCGCTCACCTACAGGTGGCAGTCTCAACCCACCCATCAAGTTAATGAAGTCTATTGCCTTCCTTACTCCCTTCCGTTCTTTTCTTTTCAAAAGATGTATGTACTTATGCACACAGGATCTGGGGTACTGATTCTCATTTTCTAATGTGTCATAGGTTGGGAAGCAGTATTTCTTTCAGGTGAGTTTCTCAGCCATTTCCTTAGGGAATCAGAGGAACAGGGACAGGAGTGAGGAGGGATGGATATTCTCAGGATGGAATATGACCCCCAATCATCCAAAGCTTTTTCTCTCTCTTGTCCAAAGCCGTCTTCCTCCTTTGCTCAAGGGTGAATCTGACTCTCTTTCCTTGGGTATTCATGTACTTCACATGAAGGCGCAGGACTCAATCCTTGTTCAACTTGGGGGCACCTTATATATGTAAGCTATTACCACCTTTGAACCTGCTTCCTAACTGTAATGTGAGTCAATAATAATGACTTTGAAATAAGATCATGCGTTCCTTGTGGGTGTTGTGGAAGAAAATCAGCATTTGGTAACATAGGAGAAAAAAAAAAAAACCTGCAGAGGTTTGAGTCAGCATCGCAAGGAGATCATTGTGAAAGCAACTTACAGTTTTAGAATGCCAGCAGGCAGCAGAACCTTGAGACAAGACCCTGGACCCTCTAAAGAGACTAGGCCATATATTTGAAACAAAGACATTTCCTTATTAAAGTTATCTCGAATTCCTGTCCTCCTCACATACAGATTGCTTCTGCCATAGAGATAATGATCCCATTAGTTCAGGTCACATATTCTGTTCTGCCGGATGTTAGGAAATTATCCTATGCCTAGGCAAATGAATGCTTTCTACTCTAATGTACTTGCCTCAGTGTAACTTTTTTCTGTTGATAATATCCTTCCTGTCTCAATATTATATAAATAAGCTGGATTCTACCTTAGAGGGTCAAGGAAATCACCTGGCTAGAATATTCTTCCTTCAGAGGTACTTGCTTTCTTCCAGGTTAACCCTCTGAAAATAATTTTTTCTTCCTGCCACTCAGCAGTGATTACATTTTCTAGCTAACAATGGGGAGTGTCTCTTTGTGGTCTGGCTGTGCCCAGCAGTGTCTGGATCCTTGTTGCTGCACTGTTGTAAGACTGCAAGATCTTAACCTACTTGTCCTTGAATACCCCTGTGAGACCAGGACTGCTGTATCCCTTCTGTAGCTGGGTCTTCCTACCCACGGCAAGGCCTCGGAGACTAGACTCCACTCCATCGTGCTCAACTATTCTGTGATCTAGAGGCTAACGATTTTACTGCAATCCTTTGTGAAACAGCGGGGGAATGAGATTTAGAAAATGAATTTTGGGCCTTCCCTGGTGGCACAGTGGGTTAAAGCACTGCACTGAGAATCTAAAGCTGCTTCCGCATGAGTTCGATTCCTGCCTGCCCCAAGATGACCACATGGCGTGGCAGACCTCTCCTGACCACCCCGCTGCTCCCCTCAGCAGTGTACTTCGTCGATCTGCCTGTTCTGCTCCCTACTCTGTCCCTGGTGAAGCCTCTCACCGCCCCTGAGTCTCTGGCGTGTACCCCAGTTCTGTATGCACAAATAAATAAAACTTAAAAAAAAAAAAAGAATTTTGTGGCCTTCCCTGGTGGCACAATGGGTTAGGACAAGCGAGCTGCAGATGCTTCAGAGCAAGTTTGATCCCTGCCCCAGAGGTGACCACATGATGCAGCAGACCTCTCCTGACTCTCCCACTACTCCCCTCAGCAGTGTACTTCGTTGATGTGCCTGTTCTTCTGCCCATTCTGTCTCTGGTGAATTCTCTCACCGCCCATTCACCTCTGGCCTATACCCCAGTTCTGTATATCTAGATAAATAAATCTCAAAAAAAAAGTGAATTTTGTGATGTGTGTATTCTTCAGTGGGAGAGAATTGGGGATTGAGTTTTATTTAGGTCAGTC